ATCATCTTCTTCTTTCTTATTTTAATGCATTATTACATTTTCTTTTAGAATATCCACTGTTGGATTGCGGCCCGAGCAGGAAGTGTATGGACGACTCCAAAAAGTAATTGTGCAGCTGTCTAATCAAAATGGATTTGACCAGAGATGCGGTCTTATTGCATCAAAACCCATCCGATTCTATACTTCAGCTTTTCAATCGAAAATGCACCGTATCCGATCGCCTTGGGACTAATCCTTAACATCCTTGAATGAACGACTCCGAAAAAGAATCGTGCAGCTGTCCTATCAAAATGGACCTCGAAACCCATATGATTCTATACTCCAGCCATCCAATCGAAAATGCACCGTATCCGGTTACTCTTAAAGTGTCACTTGAATGGATGAGAATACAGTCATTCTGGTGAAGTGTCACTTGGGACCCGACCGTGCTGAAGTGTCACTTGGGACCCGACGTATGGTCATTCAAAGGTCACTTGGGACATCTGAATGGTACTCAGAAGGAACCAACGGATAATAGGCACATCTACGCAGTCACTGCGGATGGGTTGTCCGGAGCTGCAATAGGTGGAGAGCTGGCGCAAGGAGGTAAGGAAGCAATGTAGTCTCCATTCACGAAGGGGAGTCCCCCTGTAGGGCAGAGGAAGATGCCCCCGATTGTGCGCAAAGCTGTTCGCCACTCTCGCTGCTGAGAGGTAGAGCATGACGTCCCCGATTGTGCGCGAAGGTGCTCGCTGCCAATATTGCCTCCATGCTTCCGTGGCAAAGTCCGGATTCCGCCCAATCGGGGACTCTGCCTCTCGGTCCTTGACATTGAGCAGTTGGGAGGTTGTCTAGCCTCCTTGTAATCAGGGCTCGCCGCAGCGTATAGGTCTCCACCTGTTTGGTGGGTGACACTCTATTACTGGAGTTACAGTGGAGTGCATATTGCTGATTGCAACACCGTTGACAACGACTTTGTCCGGCTTCTGGGTGGCCGGGTGCGGCCTGGAGTGACGTGTGTTAAGATTTTGACGATTCATGGACACTTCGAAGATATGATCCTACTTGCTATGATGGCGCTGATGATTGCTTCGGCTTTGAACGATCGTGTGTTTTCTCTTTTGTTAGGGCTTGGTATTCCCTGTAGGAGTTTTCTTTTAGCTTGTTTTTTTGTTGATCGCTTGTTTAGTTCGGATGGTTGACGAGTGTTGCGTTTGCGTTTGCGTTTGCGTTTTCGTTTTGATTTGTCTTGTTGGGACTTTTTCCTGTTTTGCCGGTTTAGGGCGTCAGGGGACATGATTGTTAGGGTTTGTTAAAATTAGTCATACTTTGTGGCTTGCTTTACTAGTGTTTTATTTGCTGTGGGCTAGGTGCTTAATCATGTTTCGTGTTTTAGGTTACTATTGCTGCTTGTATTGCTTCATCAATAGGAAATCCTTTGTCGCACAGTCCTTGTCTAGGTTGGAAAACACACACACACACACACACACACACACACACAGAGAGAGAGAGAGAGAGAGAGAGAGAGAGAGAGAGAGAGAGAGAGNAGAGAGAGAGAGAGAGAGAGAGAGAGAGAGAGAGAGAGAGAGAGAGAGAGAGAGAGAGAGAGAGAGAGAGAGAGAGCCATTGGTTGAATATCTTTTTCTTCGGTAGTTCCGTTTGCACATGGGAGTTTTGGTGTGTAGCGTTCCAGTTTTGGCACTTGACCGGTGATGTCTCGCCCCTAAACAGGTTCGCGAAATTTTTACAAGGAACGCCAGGCCCGATTGCTGGCACTGAAATATAAGGGACGCAGGGCTTTGTTCCCAGCTGGGTTTTGTGAAGAAAAACAAAAGACGAAATTCATTGCAAAACAAAAAAAAATTATATATATATATATATATATATATATTAATTAAAAACAAAAAAAATATATATATATTTTATTTTATTCTTACTCGTTTTTGGCCCGGCCGGGCAAGTGGTCCCAGGGCACTCTAGTAACAGTCTTTATTCTGTTATTCTGACTGCATCTGGGTTCGAAATTGGGTCTGATTCATATTTCAACCCTTCAGGGGTGTACCAACTGAGCTAGGCCCTTTGGCACTGCCTTGCATTTTTGCCCACTGGAAGGAAGCCTCTCTTTTCTTGCCCACCCACATTACATCTGGGGCTAGGTCCCACTAACAAAGAGGATCCCATTGAATGCCTGAATCTGGACGTGTCTCTTGGAAAGGGTGCAGATTTCTGCTGAAACAGAAAATAAAGATTGATCTTCTTTTCTGCATCTCTGCTGAAAAAACGTCTACATTCAGGAAGGAGCTTAATCCAATCCCTTCTTCCTAGTGGGACCTCGCCCCTTGCAGTCCACTCTTCGCTGTTATGCCGAAAACACATTCAAAACAGGTGAAAAAAAAAAAAGAAAAAAAAAACAGAGATAGGTATCACCACCATAAAGTTTTGCCAAATTGCCATTATATGTTTGCCAAATTGCAATTGTATCCTTCCTCTGCAAAAGCTATTCAGCAAAATACCCTTGTCCTTGCCTGCTTGCCTTTTCCCAAAAGCCATCTTTCCAGCTTTTTTTTTTTTTTTCTATTTTTATAACAATCTTTCTAGCGTTTTTACCTCTCATAGTATTGAAAGTCACTGCAAAATTTAGGGGAAAAAAAAAAGAAAGACATTTACAACTATGTTAGTATGTTTGCCAAATTGCAATTGTATCCTTCCTCTGCAAAAGCTATTCAGCAAAATACCCTTGTCCTTGCCTGCTTGCCTTTTCCCAAAAGCCATCTTTCCAGCTTTTTTTTTTTTTTTCTATTTTTATAACAATCTTTCTAGCGTTTTTACCTCTCATAGTATTGAAAGTCACTGCAAAATTTAGGGGAAAAAAAAAAGAAAGACATTTACAACTATGTTAGTATGTTTGCCAAATTGCAATTGTATCCTTTGTGGATTGAATCCGATGGCGGCAAAAGCTACCCAGAAAAAAATGCTACCCTCTTTGCCATCCTGTAATTTCCACAAAAAGCCGTCTTCTCCACTTCTTGACCTTTCATGGGAAGACCATATAGATCGAAAAAAAAGAAAAAAGAAAAAAAGATCGATTTACATCCAACGGGCTGCGGGAAATCGACACCACACAAGTACACAGCTTTATAACAAGAGGAAGAGATGTGCGTAGACAGACTGCTTTCTACCAAACTAGAAAAACGTTTTTCTAGTTTGGTAGAAAGCAGTCTGTCCATGCCTAGCCGCAAAAACGTGTTTACCGAGAAAACGTTTCTCAAAAATCGATTCTGCAAAATTTCCTGCACTTCAAAAACAAAAGAGTCAAGAAAACAGTTTACCCCGACACCCCTTCGCGTGTGCACCCTACCTTTGAAATCCTCTGGAGAAGAGAGGTGAGCGACACATGCACAATTCTCATGATCATGGACAAATGCGTGCAACGAAAATTCCCAAGAGCATGCAGTGCCATGCACCCATAGTCCTCCTAACCTTCTTCTCAGCACTCTTCAACAGAAAATGAATTCAAAAAAGTTTAAAAAAGTTTAAAAACACAAAAAAAAAGTTAAAAAAACTGAGTGCACGAGTACCCATCTCCAACTTTCAAATTACAGAACACATAGACCAACTAGTACAGAACACGCCGGCAAGCTCAACGTGTGTGTCCGTACGCCTACGCCCAGGCCCTGCTGGGACTCAGAAACAATACCACGCCCGGGCCCTGCTGGGACTGGGCCCTGCTGGACTCAGAAACAATACCACGCCTGGGCCCTGCTGGGACTCAGAAACAATACCACGCCCG